ATTTTATTTATTCATTTATTTATTTTTTGCTTTCTTAAATGTCCAATCGTAATGATTCAAATAGTGCAAATGGCATAAACTGGTACAGTAAAATAGACAAGCATAAACAGTAAAATAGTTGATCATTTTTTGACATGACTTTAAAAACGACATGATAAAATCATTTTAGAATTTCAATGTTTTAATGTGTGCAAATTGTAGAAAATTGCTTACATTTTGACAAAAATAAGAAAATTTTAATTTTTGAATAGTTTTAAAAACGTATCTTGCGAAAGTTTTTGGTTTTCAGAATGATTCAAATTTTAAAATATTTTTAAAGTTATTTCATACTTGTTAATTATCCTTGGAGTACATAATTATAAAGTATGTATCACCTTTCAGAATTTATATTAAGGAGTTTTTCAGTTAAAAAAAAATCACGTGTAAAATTTAATCCATAGCAAACAATATTATAAGAACTTAAAAAATCATGAATGTTTTTCCAGGTATGGTGAATTTTTCAAAGCATTGCTAGTAAAGATTTAAAATGTGCCATGAAGTAAAAAATTAGGATTAAAATTGAGGGGAAAATGCTGCATCACATTAATAATTAGAATATAAGAAGAAAATGAAACCCTACACAGAAGAATTTTTTTTTAAATTTTGAATACAGTAGCGAGATTTAAAATATAATAAAGAAAGAAGGAAAGAAACAATAATGCCTCCAAAACTTTGCCTACTACAAACTACTAAACTTCGCCGGCATATTTTCGAAAATTTATTTCAACAAATAAATTTTTAATAAGTTCAGCAAACTTTTTATTTACAAGTAATTAGTTATTCGTTTTTTTTCCTTTAAATTTTTAACTACTAAAATTATACTTTCATTTTAAAGCACGATTCTCAGAATAGCTATCTTATTTATATCTGTCATTCGACGTGATTTGCCGATTACTCAATTTGATTCACGGAATATAGAAAAGTTGTGACTTCATCTTAACTGCGAATTAATTTTCTTCTTTTTTTATATTTATTTATCAAAAGGTTCATTATTCATTACTTATTGACTAGAATAAAAATAAAACATTCCCACAACAGCCCTTTACGTGACTGGGGGTTCATGATGGTTAAGGATCCACAATGTGGTAATCATTGATTATGGCAATGTTGTCAGCATTGCGCACAGGCAGCCTTTACTTTCCAGACAAAGTGATACCCATCGATCTAAAACTGGGAGGACTTCAAGCCCCTACTGGGGATCAAACCCCGGTTCTTCACAACAGTTCACTAATTAACCCATCGCAGTTAATTGAATAGATTAATTAAATATGAAGTTATTTAATCAGCAATATATTGGTGGAAAAAATTAACATATTGTGAAAGTATTAGTAACAAAATAATTTTTTTTTTATTGAAGCTAATGAATTTAATACTCATTAACGATTCAATCATGAATTTAGTACTTATTAACGATCAAATTCGAGATTTCATTCGGCAAAGTGAAAATTTCGCCCCTCCTAAATATATAAGTTCAAGGAGCTCCTGAAAACCTTCTAAAAGTTTATTTATATAAGGAATTTATTCATATAAAAGTTTATTTATATAATAGCGTTTAATCAGCAATATATTGGTGGAAAAAATTAACATATTGTGAAAGTATTGGCACCAAAAAAAATTTTTTTTTATTGAAGCTAATGAATTTAATACTTATTAATTATTCAATCATGAATTTAATACTTATTAATTATTCAATCATGAATTTAATACTTATTAATGATCAAATTCGAGATTTCATTCGGCAAAGGGGAAATTTCGCCCCTCCTAAACATATAAGTTCAAGGAGCTCCAGAGAACTTTCCAAAAGTTTATTTATATAATGAATAAAACAATTGTAATTCTAAATAGTGATAAATTAACTTACCTGCTAAATGTATAAGATCCTCTTTTCACAAATTTTTTGTGCCAATAAATGCGGCATAATAAATCAACATATTTTAAAATTTTTGGCTTTATAATTTCAGCATGGAATTTTTTCCACGAAATAATACGGGAGAAACAAAGATTACAAATACTCTCTCTCGATTCACTCAACAGTAACGTTATCATTATGAGGGCAAAAATTATCATTTTGCGAGCTCTAATTATTTAAACTCTATGATTTCAACGCATTAATCTATAACAACGTTCAAATATTTATGTTCATTTATCACTTACATGCCAATTACGCGCGCCATTTAAATAAGGGATTAGTTTAAACAGAATTGATTTTTTTAAACTTTTTCATGAATCTGGATCTGAGTTTTTCAGAGAAATGAAAAATTGAAATTGTGCTCTTATTTCGAGGAATGGAAAAATCTGTCATCTAAAAACTTCTAATTCTACTAAAAAGAGTTTTAAACGAATTGCTTACATGGATAGAATTTCAAAAAATATACTTGTCTTTTAAAGTTAATTTTTAAGTTCATTGAATTTATAATATTTTATTTATTGTTTTTAACGAATAGTTATCTTAAAAAAAATATAAAATATTATTGCTTTTTCACATTAACCATATTAAAATATTTGCTGATTAAAGAAGATAAAACTTGCTATCGAATAATAAGGTAGCCTTTTTTTTAAAGTGACTGAAAATTTTATGACGGGAATCTCTACATATGTTAATAAATTGTACACGATATAGGAAGTAGAGCAAATTAAACGGTCGAATTTGTTTCTACACATTTAACTATATCTAAAGCAGTAGTTCCCAATTTTTTTTTTCAGGTGTGGAACCCTAAATGATCAACCTTATTTTAGCGGAACCTCCGAGATTTAATAATTAAATTTCATTAGCAATTGTGAACATAGACTCGTAAATATATTAATCATTTAAAACTATTAATCATTCGAGAAGAAATCAATTAATCATTTTGAAAAGAATTGACAGGAAAAAAGATAGAAATTTTATGAATTATTTTGAAAACATTTAGTGAAGGAATGAAGAATAAATTTTTTTCTTGAAGAATAAAATATCGTTTAATCAATAGTCTTAAAATTGGATTTTATGTCAAACTGTGGAATTCACAGATCTTGAGAGTCATCTGGTCTAGTTCTTAGTTCGATTTTCTTGTTTAGATCTTAGTTTGATGAAAACTGAAATATGGTGTCAATTGAAATTAAAACGAAAAATGACGAAAATAATTATTGAGAATGGTTATCAGAGAAACATAGTAGAAATTAGTTATTTTTATTTGATGCGAATAATAATGCAATTATTTGTAAATTCATATCATTTTCATAATACTTCAATAATCGTTACAAGAAATGATTTTTTTTAAATTTGGCATTTCTTTTTTCGCAAACATTTCAGTCAAATAATTTCCTTAAAAAATGGAAATAATCTCGAAATAATGAATAATTAATTAGATATAAATTTAGTTATAAGCTTCAAAATTCATGATTAAAAAAAGTTCTAGCTCTCGGAACACCTGTGATAATTCCATGGGATTTTAGGATTCCATGGAATACTATTTAGGAATTGCTGGCCTAAGGTAATGCACTAGACGTTCTAAATATATTATAATTGAAACAATATATAATTCTAGCAACACAGTTTGCGTATATTCTTTACAAAATTTTTTTTTATTTTAAATCGTAAAAAAAAAATAAAGCATTGTGTTTGTTAAATAAATACCCCAAGGAACTGAAAATGCATTTCCAGAGCACGTAGAAATGCATTTTACCCCGATTTGCCTCTCTCGGCCACTGTAATTTTTTCTTACTCTGTTCTTAAACTTTTTTTCCTCTCTCGGCTACTGTCGTTTTTAAGTTTTATTTCTCACCTTCATTTTTCCAATTTTTTGTTGACAACTTTTCGTTTTGCATTTCAAATCACATTTTTTCGCATTCACGTTTGGCAAGTCTTGAAAATGGGCTCCTGTTTGTGAGAGCTTGAAACAAGATGATTTTTATTTCCTATTTATATAAATTAGAAGTTTTTAATCAGGTAATTGTGTTTGTTAGTTAGTTTAGTATCAGCAATGGATGAGTTATATTATTAACTATGTAAGTACTAAAAATATTTTCAAAATAATTTTAAATCTAACTTAATGAGCTAATGCTTAAAATATCGCTCAAATTGGCATACAACAATGTAAGAAGCATTGAAAGTGTAATATGATAAAATGTTATTTTATTCAGCTGAAATTCAGTACAAACTGCCGGATCGATTGATCTAGAAATTACTGAAATGCATAGTGATCTATCACTATCACACTGGCAGTGCATTACATACTATGCCATTAAAATCTATGATCTCCCTATTACTATGATCTATCATTAAAATCTATGATGAGTTAAATCTGTTGAGAAGGTTTTCGAAAGAGGTGATATTTGAAACATATTCAGGAGACCACTTTTAATGTATAATACACAGTTTCCGGAATCTCTAAACTTATCAATCCAATTTAGTCTGTGTGCAAATCCTATCGACTTGAAAGGTGCCAAAGGAAAATTCAGAGGGAATTGTAAAAATAACAAAAAAAGAGTCTCATATTAACTTCGAATCCATAGTTTGTCAATGATTTATACTTGGATTTCATTCCACATAAACGGTAAATACTAGCAAGATGTGGAGACAATGGGAAAAAAACTGTTATGCTTAACACTTTCATACTTTTATGCATTATACTTTTATACTTCAATAAAACTTTATTTTACTTAAAGCTAGCGTCATATGTTGTGCAAGGGAATTAAAAAATTTAGTTAAAGATCACTTTTTTTATTCATCAGTGGACACATAAATATTACTACCAGATGTTTAAATAAGTTTACTTTAATTTAAATACTGTTTATATTTTATACTGTTTAAATACTGTAATTATTATAATTTAAATGATTAATTTAAATACTGTTTATATTTTCTCTTCGTTAAATGCTGTAACTTATTCTTTGTTTTGTAGCGTAGATTTAGGGATTCATAAAGATTGATATTCTAATTTTTTGCGTGTTTGAACTTATGTAATATATTTTTTTATAGAAGATTTAAGGCTTTTCTAAAAGAATGTCGATTTGATCTAGGTGAGCATATTTCATTTCAAGTTCTAGAAACCCTTTTTTTCCCGTTTAAGTATACTTTCAAGCTCTCAAAAGTGTAACTGTAATACTGTACAAAAACTCAGTTTTATTTAAAAAAAAAAAACTTTTTTTTAAATTTTACTTATTCTCTATTACAGAATTATGTAACTTTGAAAGAATTCGTAGGAGACTTGCAGTCATACACGTTGTTTTTATAAAAGCATACTTATTGTTTTGTTTCAGCAAGTTTTTGTTTATTACATGCTATTTATTTTAATTTAAAACTCTTTTGTTGATATCATGATGCTGTTTAAAATCGATTTATTGATTATTTACTTTTCTATTTTCTACCAACTGGTAATCTAAACTAAACTCAGTGGTGCGACAGCACATTAGCAGGAGGGCCAAGGCCTACTGTGCCCATCTCAGTTTTCTTGACCTTGGGCTTTGGGGTGCAGGAGCAGATGCCCCGGTTAGGTGGTCAATCGAACAAGAAACCCCCAGTGCTTAGATCCTAAACATGCTTGGTACTCATTTACCAACCCACTGAAGGGATGAAAGGCTGAGTCAACCTTGCCCGGACCGAGGTTCAAACCCAGGACCTGTGGCACGGGAGCACGAAGGGCTACCACTCTGTCACCGGGTGTCACAAGGCTGAAACTAAACGGTAAAATTTAACAGTAAATTTTTTTTAAAGAAAACCCTGCATAATTTGGAGTTTCATGGATATTTTTATAGCAATTTATTTGCTAAAATAGAGGACTAGCGAGAATTCGTTTAAAATTAAAGAACATATTTAAGAAATGTGAGGTGGAAAAACATTGTTAAATCACGTAGTTGTGTCTGCTTAATTAAATTCATTTAGTTAAAGTTTTACATCATCCAATCGGGCATTCATTTCTATAATTATAAAAAAAATTATTTTAGGTATTACAGTTATTTTATTTTTTAAATTTGAATTACAAGCTATTTTTAAAGATTGTTACACTAACACCCATCCATAATTTATAGTAAAAGACATTTTTCTCGAGTATGGTGCAAAAGATGTGAATATTACAGACGACTGGATTTTATCATGGACCGATGGAACTTTATCTTTAAAAGATTATTCAGCACTCAAATCGTATCAGGTTTGTAAAATTAAAATGAATCCAAGATTTTAAATTTATTAACATTTTTAATTATTCATAAAAGATTCGCTCAAAAAAGGTGGTATTTAATGTAAGTATCGTAAATATTATAGCAATTCTTCACAATAGTTACATAGCTGAATAAAGTTAACCAATACGAGTAAAACAAAAGTAATAGTTTTAAAAAATTAAAAAATAATAATAATAACTTTTCCACGGTTTTGCATGAAAATGTAAGACAATTTGTGCTTTTTTTCATGAGTTGCAACCTATACCCTTTCTTTGCTCATAAAGCATAAAAATGTTGAGATATTTTTTAAATGTCGAATGAAAGTGAGAAAAATATAAGCAATTAAAATGAAGTTTATATGCCTAAAAAGTACTTTCCACGTCCTTCTTTTATTATTAAATATATTAATTTAAAATGAGAAAAGTAAGGCACATTTTTTTAACAAATCATAACATATATGGAGTATTTTTGAAATCTTTTCCTAATTTATAATACTATATTTTTGTTTTTGAATTAAATTATTTGGGAAGCTATAAAATATCTTACACACTGATTCTAAATTACGCAACATCAAAAGTCTATTTTAACGTACAAAAATGTGAACTTGAAGTTTGTTTATACTGAAACTTAAAAGTAAAACTCTCTCATTAATAAATGTATTAAAATGCAGAACTAGTATATAATAGATAGTTAAGGAATTTAAGGTATGATTTTTGAAACAATTGCAAATAATTTCAACTATGCACCATTTTGAGACATTTTATTTACTAACTATATGTATATATATATAAATATATTTGAAAGCAAATAAATAATGGGTCCTTCTTACTTTATCAAGTTTAAAAATTTTTTAGTTAAATAATATAAAATATGTTAAAACATTCGTTAATTTACAAATTATTCTATAACACTGGAGCACAAAATGTTATAAAATGTTAAAGTGATTTTCCCTATTATGATGAAAAATAAATTAAATATTTTTCTTTTTAATTTTTTAAGATTTTTAACATGTTTTATTTAATTTTTGTCACATTATCAAACTTATTGGGCATGAAAAATGTAAGCATCTATATTAATATGTAAAATATTGACTCAAATTAAGCATGTTCTTCTTTTTAATGAGTATTATTTTGTCTCCTAATGTTGCATCTTAAATTTACTTAAATATTTATACTTAATATTTTACATATTTATACTTAATATCTTAAATATTTATACTTAATATCTTAAATATTTATACTTAATATCTTGAATATTTATACTTTATATCTTAAATATTTATACTTATTATCTTAAATTTTCATATTTAATATCTTAAATATTTATACATACTTAACATCTTAAATATAAATACTTAATATCTTGAAAATTTATACTTAATATCGTAAATATTTACACCACGATTATTCATAATGGTTGTATCTATATATTTGCATTTAAAACTAAATTAAACTTTAACAATAATAAAAGGAAAAGGAGTGAATAGAATTTCGAATATTAAATTCGCTGCATATAAGCGTTATATTATACTAACACATTATTATTATTTTGTAGAAAATAAATCATTTTCCTGGTATGAGTATGATCTGTCAGAAAGATTTGTTGTCACGTCACTTGAAGTTAATGAAGCGGAATCTTCCCCGAGATTACAATTTCTTTCCACTGACATTTTGTCTTCCAGAAGAGTATGTATATATATATATATATTTTAATAGAAGGAAAAACATAGTTAGCTTCTAAAATAATTCACCAGTAATATTTAAAAAAATTATAAATAGATAGAGGAAGAAACAGATAAAATTTAATAGACGTAATTAGAATTTTAATATCAAATTTTAATTTTAAATTCTATTTTTAATTTAAAAATTTACTTTAATTTTAAATTTTATTTTTAATTTTTGAATCCATTTTTTTAAAATTTATTTTTAATTTAAAATTTTGTTTTAACTATCTGTCAAACCAAAGGTCACTAATGAAATGAGCATGATATTTTAGTAAAATTCGATGGTTTTCTTGCATTACGTTGGAAGGATTTCACACCCGCGTGAGTAAACTATTTTAATTAGCTGAAAAATGAAGTTTTCGTACGGAATAAAAATAGTGGTAAATAATCAATAAATCCATATAATTTAACACTCTTCCGTCATGCATAAAAAAACTGTAACATTATACAGTACATTATACATTAACATTATTGCAGATACTGTAACATTAATTTAATAATTTTTTCATTGTTATTTGCTCCCCTTCTGGGTGACTTCACATTTTTAAATTTATCAAAACGCTTTAAATTGTATCAATAATAATTCTAAAAAAGAATAGATTAATTATAAAATGACACGTTTTTACACAGTATTATGTGTAAATTCATTCCCATTTCAATAAAATGACTGTTGGAAATCTTCATTTTAAAATGTTTTAAAAATTTACTGCTGATAATGTTTAGATAAGAATAAAAACTCTCATAATGTTATGTTTGCTAAATCCTAAATTTTTAATTTTAAAAATATGGCATTTTTGTAATAATTTTGAAAACAATATGGTAAGAAATAAATTTAAAATTGTTGAAATACGTTTACAATTTTTACAATGATGTTTCCAATTAACGGTTTAGATTGAGGAATTTAACTGACTATTGTGAACGCAGAAAGTATCAAGATGTCTTCATTATAAAGCCAGACGCCAACAGCCAAGGCGTTGGAATAGAAGTGATTAAAGATGTAAAAAACTTTAAGAAGTATCGGAATGTTATTTGCCAAAAGTATGTGCGTAAGGTAAGTTGGAAATTTCTGTTATGTCTACATAATGCTATGCATAATTGCAAGTTATTTCAGTTAATACGTAATTTTATTTCTCTCTCCAGTACTTTATCTCACTTTCAAACTTGAACTTTTATACATACGTTATCCATTTATCGACTTCAGAGTAATTTTGAACCAAAATTTCGAGGAAAACACATTTAAAATTTGAAAAATGTTAATATTTTTTAAGAACATCAGGAAACATTTTAAAGAACATATAGAAACTATTGTAAATACTTCAAAAAAAATTTAAAATATTTCAAAAGCGGTTTTTACTCATGTCCATTAAACAAATAACTGTTGACTCATCGACGCCAGCCATGTTATTTATACCAATAAATATAGATCTAAGTACACAAAAAGTTAAGCTTATCGTTAAAAGTAATAGTAGTAATTTTGAATTATTAAGCAAATATAATTTTATATATATTTTGAAACTTGAAGTCGATCAGATAAGTTTTAGAGTCTTCATAAAACATTTCTGCCATATAAAAGCCATATCTGTAAAAGACATATTTGCAAAAAACGAATAAATTAATAAATAGTTTTAATTGACCAATATTAACCCATAAATACATATTTTAATAAAATGGATGATAAACAATACCATGACTAAAAAAACTTGATGCGCTTGTAGCATTTTGAATTTGAAAAAACACAGTTTGCAAAACAGTTTTAAAGGGATATCCAATTACAATTGATTTAATTAGCGGATTTTTTTTGTATATTTCCTAAATTTTACTTAAAAAAATTTTTTTTCCATCAAAAATTTCTTTTTTTTTTTTAAACGAAAAATATTCCTGAAAAAAAAACATGAACATGAAACCCTTTCTGAAAAAAATCTAAATGATTCCTGCGACTCGGTTACTTTTTATGTTTCTTTATAATTTTATTTGCCACAACGTACACGGAGAAATAAAATATTGGAAAATTATCGCAGTATATGGTATTGACATTTCTGATTTTAACATATACATTTACACATCTTATACATAATTCTGGTTACTAAAACCGAAATATATGGCATGTTTCATTTGGTAATTTTTTCATATGGCAACGGTCTATCGGAAATCCTGATTTTCGAAATTATAGCTCTTTTTACCACTTATTAAGTAAAAAAAAGTACAGAACTGAAGAGTAAATTTAACCGAATAAATGCTTTTAATGCCATTTTCTAAGGTATCATGATAAAATTACCAACGCTACCACATTTAGCAAAATTTTATCATGTATTTTAAAATCTTCTTGTTAATTTTATCAAAATCATTGCCAAAGCGTTTCGGTAAAAACTACCGAGCTTTTTTGTGTTCGCATAAAGCCAGAAACACCGTACATTTTACCATAGTCTGATAGTTTTGACCATATTTTTTTCTCAGTGTATTAGCAAGTCTTTTGGTTTATAAAGTTCTTATTTTTATAATAAAATATTTTTGCTGTGGTTTTATTAAAAAAAATATATACTGACACCCAAAAAAATTCGATTTAAGGCAATTATAATGCAAATTGTTAATTTTTTTAAAAAGTTTTACTGATTTGAGAATCATCGAGTTTATTAATAATGTATGAAGTTTACGTAACGATTTTAAACGTAAATCGAAGAAAGTGTTTACATGTTCGATTTTTTTAACAGCCATTTTTAATAGATGGTTTCAAAATGGATCTTCGTTTGTATGTGCTAATTACATCTGTCACACCATTGCGAATATACTTATATAAAGAAGGATTGATTCGGTTGGCGACTATATTGTATAAGAAACCTAGTTTTACCAATTTAGTAAGTAGAAAATTTATTTGTTTTAACCTTTTCATAAGTTTTTAAGTTGCACTTTTAGGAATTTATCCTGGAAGTAAATGCTTACATTATTTATTACATAATATGTGCAAAGATTAACTGTTTAGTGCATGAAACAGAATTGATTATTGAATAACCTATTCTGCATGAAACGAAACGTAGCAATATCCTATTAGCAATATTTATGTAGAAATTTGAAGTACCATTTCTGAGACAAAATACAGTTCCGATTATCCGAGTTTCCGCTTTAACCGAGCTATCAAATATTTCAAGGATTTTTTTTGTTCTAATTTATTTTTTAATTTTAAAACTACCGCTGAAAAAAAATTCTGAATTTCATCTTCCAAACACTCAGGAAAACGAAATCAAACAACTTGACCCGATGAAATGATCGTTAATATCGTCAATAATAAAAATAAATCTAACGAAGATGATGAAGACAGTGACGATGAAAATCAACATGTAAAAATCTCGCATACAAATGAACTAAAAGCTATCGAAAGTGCTTTTGATTATATAGAACAACAAAAAGAGGCGACACCAGCCTTCCTGTTATCCCTAAAATAATGGCAAAATATTGCCGCAAAAAAGCGCCAAAGTAATGTAAAATAAAAAAAACGATGAAAGTAAAAACTTTTAAGTAAAAACTCTTTCGTTCTCGTAAAGTATGCTCTTCGAGTGTTTTCGAGTAAGTTTTTTAATTATAATATGAATTATATGTGGTGTACTCGTAGAAATTTTGTACATTTGTTAAGTATAATGCATTTATACCTACTCTTTTTCTTTCCTTTCTAAAACTCTTCGCTTCAACCGAGTTTTTCAGTTATTCGAGTTAATCGTGGTCCACATTAACTAAGATAATCGGAGCCCTACTGTATATACTTTGGAAAGGAAGCTCAAACGTCTTTAGTTAAGTAGTAATACACTAAATAGTCAAAATGAATATCAATAAAAAGTATTGTTAAAATAAATAAAGATACTTGCAATTTAAATAACAAAAAAACGCTATCTATCTTATTCGTTCGTTTAAAAAATGAATTTAGAACAAAAGAAATTTTCGAGATTACAAACAATATTAGGCTGATATTTTGCTATTTCAACTGACACATGTAAAATGTCAGAAATTAAAATTCAGGACACAGGGCAAAATGAATGGATTTTGTCAATAAATCTATACTAAATATCAGCTTGATACTAATGATTTGCACTTGCCGTTTATTCCCAAGCTTTTTTTTTTTCGTAAATATTACTTGTTGAGTATGCAAATATTTTCACATTTTAAACTGGTAAAGTTCCGAATAAAAAAAATATGCTTCTTTTTTTACTTTTTAATTTAAAATATAAGTTTTAAACTAAATATTGAATGTTATAAGAAATATGACCCGTCTATACTACTCGATAATTACATATATATTTCGATTATATATATTTCAACTATATATATTTCAATTGCCTGTAATTTCCTTGGTTGCTGTTTGAATAAAAGGTAAAAATATTACAATCCATTTAAATTTTTAAAAAAATTATTCAAATATTGTCGAAAAGTGCTGAGCACTAAATTATTCTTTCATCCCGTGATTTAATCTTTGATCTTTATTCATGGAATGATTATTGCATAGTGCTTTTATTTTTGAGTGATCCAAATTTTCGTTCATTAAAGAAAAGGTGCCATTGCTGTTGCCAACGAAAAGGAACAAATTAAGCCCTTTTACTGGGGTTACACTTGACATTTATACACAGTCATTCAGAAACGAGATCAAACGAGATTTTCCAAAAATTTTAATTTATAGAAAAGAATTGAGTTTGTATTCTAAAAGTATGAATTGTGAAAAAAAATTTCTCATTTTTTTCTGAGTAATTAATGATTAAGTGTTAGTTAAAATCCCAACTGTTATTTTTTTTACTCAATGGGGGCAAGGTTGATGCCATAACTCTAAGTGTCTCTTATTGTTATTCTCATTCATAATTTTAATTACTATATAACAGAGTCTTCAGATTTGCAGTGATTGGGCATATACTAAAGTGACCACATTTTCATTGAGACAANTGTAAATAAAGAGTTTTGAGTTGATAGTATTTAGTATTATTATTTTCCCAATAATCACGAAGTCAAAATAATTTGACGGCACGTCTATGACTTCATTAAGCAATTTTTTAGAGAGAATGGCACGTTGGTGAATAAAGGTTCGCCACCCCTGATATAGAACAACAAAAAGAGGCGACACCAGGCTTCCTGTTATCCCTAAAATAATGGTAAAACATTGCCGCAAGAAAGCGCCAAAGTAATGTAAAAAAAGGAAAGAAAAAAAAAAACGAATAAAGTAAAAACTTTTAAGTAAAAACTCCTTCGTTCTTGTAAAGTATGCTCTTTGAGTGTTTTCGAATAAGTTTTTTAATTATAATATGAATTATATGTGGTGTACTCGTATAAATTTTTTTGTTAAATATAAGGCATTTATACCTACTCTTTTTCTTTCCTTTTTTAAACTCTTCGCTTTAACCGAGTTTTTCAGTTATTCGAGTTAATCGTGGTTCACATTAACTCGGATAATCGGGACCCTACTATTGTATATACTTAAAATAAAATCTGTTCTGGTTGGGGGGAAAATCAGCATTATTAAATACTTAGTATGTACAAATTTCAAAGAATGTGAAGTTTGGAAACAGGTTGTTTATTTAAACTAGAATTAGAAGTGTTCGAATTTACTAGGGGTTTGACGCAGTCTGCTCGCTCTCACTCGTCAATCCCTGGAATAGTTTTCGCTGTTCCTATAGGATCACCTCGCTATTGAGATCCGTTCTTGCTTCGTTCTTCTGCCTATCATTAAAAGTTTAGCATTCTTGTATAAGCTCATACGTAGACCAAAATTGCCCAGCATTTAGACAGGTCTTGGAAGGCAAGCTCAAACGTCTTTGGTTAAACAGTAATACACAAAATAGTCAAAATGAATATCAGTAAAAAACATTGTTAAAATAAATAAGGATACTTTCAATTTAAATAACAAAAAAACGCTATCTATCTTATTTGTTCGTTTAAAAAACGAATTTAGAACAAAAGAAATTTTCGATTTGAACTGACGCATGGAAAGTGTCAGAAATTAAAATTCAGGATACAGAGTAAAATAAATGGATTTTGTCAATAAATCTATACTAAATATCAGCTTGATACTAATGATTAGCACTTGTGCCCACGCCCTTTTTTTTCGTAAATTTTACGTGTTGAATATGCAAATATTTTCACATTTTAAACTAGTATGGTTACAAAAAAATTTTTGTCTCTTCTTTTATTTTTTAATTTAAAATATTTAAAATATAAGTTTTAAGCTAAATAATGAACATTATTAGAAATATGACCCGTCTATATTATTCCATAATTTTCAATTATATATATTTCAAGTTGCAGTTTGAATAAAAGGAAAAAAGGTTACAATCCATTTAAATTTTTAAAAAAATTATTCAAACATTGTCGAAAAGTGCTGAGCACTAAATTATTAATTCACCCCGTGACTTAATCTTTGATCTTCATTCATCGGGTGGTTATTGCGGAATAACATAGTGCTTTTATTTTTGAGTGATCCAAATTTTCGCTTTTTAATGAAAATGTGCCATTGCTGTTGCCAACGAGTAGGAACAAATTAAGCCAAATTTTCCAAAAATTTTAATTTATAGAAAAGAACTGAGTTTGTATTCTAAATGTATGAATTGTGAAAAAAATTACTTATTTTTTTCTGAGTAATTAATGATTAAGTGTTGGTTAAAATCCCAACTGTTATTTTTTTTACTCTATGGGGGAAAGGTTGATGCCATAAGTTTAAGTGTCTCATATTGTTTCTCATTCATAATTTAAGTTAATACTATATAACAGAATCTTCAGATTTGCAGTGATTGGTTAAATCACATATACGCAAGATTTTGCGATTATGCTTTTCTTTTTTTCTCATATTTTGATTATGAAAAACTTACTAAAGAAGATAGACTATATGAACGGTGATTAAAAACGATTTAAATATTTGTCGCATGCAGATTGAGTGTTCATTTTCCAATTTAAAGATTTTTAAAATGCAAAAAGCGATACACTAAAATATTAAACATGTTAATTTATTCTACTTTGTTTACAGAATGAAAAGCGAATGCATTTAACTAATTATGCTGTCAACAGGAATTTAGAAAAAAGTTTCCAAGAAAGACCATCAGAAAATTGCAAAAAGTAGCATACATATTTTTCTTAATTTTGCAAAACTCCTTAAACTTAAATCAGTAATTTTGGAACACAAAAAGTTATGCTCATTAATCTTATAGTATGTAGTTTCAAGATTTCAAAATGTTTAATGCAATTATTTAAAATTTTAAAATCTTAAAGCAAAGTTTCGGTGATTTAAATCAAAACCTCAATAAAGATTAATTTAAAAAGCTTTTTTTTTTCTTCCTTTAACAGTAATTCGCTACACATACTGGTCATTGTTTTTTTGCTTTATTTTTGATGAGGATTAAAAAGATACATAATATAGAGACGCTCATTTCATTTCTTTCTCTAATATTATACCTATAAAGTTTGATATAGGGAAAGTTTACCAGAAATGTTTTTAAAAAATTTTGAACTGAGTTAGTTGTTTAAAAAGTTTCATCACTTTTGAGCAAATATCTTTTAGGACTCAAGTCTTCCTGTTAACACTAAAACATTAACGCAGCATGCAACTGATATAATCTCAAATATCTCCAAAAAATTTCAAAGCGATATCAGGAGTAGTTTCTTAGAAAAAGTACATCGAAAAAGGTCAGTTTTAGCATTATTGATGCATGCCCTACCAACTCCACTTAAAATCTTTTAATCGTATTTTTTCATGCAAGTTTATTTTGTATTATTCTAAATGTTGAGTTATAATATGAAAAATAAAGAACTATTAACTTGCTTTTTTATATGCCAGTTTATCTGAAAATAATTCATATGAACACTCTAAAACTGAAAAGTAGCTCCAAAGTATGTTATAATAATTTATGTAATATTGAGTTCTATTCAAAATTTTATAAATAGTTCATATGATGAACATCAGATCGATTAACACCAGATCATCGGGAAGTAAAGACTGTCGGTGCGCAATACTGATCACATTAATAGCATCATACGAGCCCTGATGGATCAGGGGATAGAGCGTTCGTCTTCCAATGAGGTGAACCGGATTCGCATTCCTGCGATGGCTGGTCGATACGAATTCCGCACCCGGCTCTCATCGACCAAAGTGCTTACGTGAAATATCATCAGTGGTGGATGGATCATGGGTTAGAGTTCCCTTGCCGTGAGGCTAACCGTGAGAGGCTCTCGTGGTCTTCCATCAAAAAAGCCCTCCACGAAAGCTAGTTTGTTACAATGCTTAACCCAGGAGTTCCCTTGTCTTCTGTATTGGGTTCAAAATTACAAAGCTACGGAGTTGGAACATTAGTAGTCGTAAACCCAAAATTAGATCTGTTGTATAACGGTTATAAATATATAAATAAATACATAGCATCATGCCTGAACACATTAATACCGAAATTGTGAAGCATTAATCTGCGTAACACGCTTGTCGAACAACTGGCTGTATCGGAAGTGCTTTACTTTTATATAAGGAGATGCTATTTTCAAAATACCATTCCAAATGATATTCTTCGCCACATAATATTTGACTTATAACCAAATTACAGTCTTTGCTTTTTAAGAATTAGAATTTTTCTAATATTCAAAAGTAATTAAACGTGCTCCATTATTTTATATGCATATCTTAAAACTTACTCTAACTTATTATTTTTGCTTTTTAATACTCTCTTTTGTTTCGTCACACGACCAGATCATTGTCCGATTTAGAAGATTATTTTAGTTGCATGGGGCTATCAATATCTGACACGTGGTTAGTTATTGAAGAGATTATTGTGAAGACAATCTTGTCAGTTATTCCAGAACTTCAACACATCTACAGGACAACTTTTCCCTGCACATCGGCTATTTCTTCCTGCTACGAAGTCTTGGGTTTTGATATACTTCTGGACGACAAAACAAAGCCCTATCTTTTAGAAGTAAGTCACTAGTGCAATAGAATAAAATACTATTTTTGAATGCAATGATTTATATTAACACGAAGCCATTTGCCATATTCTTATTGTATATGCGAAATTTTTCTTAAACTTTTAGTTCGACAATTTGCTTATTTTCAAAGACTGTTGGTGTTTAAGAATATGTTTATAATTTTATTACTACATTCATTATTAATTAGCATAAACCACCCAATATTGTTTAAATATTTAAGTTATGCGAAAAAAAAGAAAAACATATAATTAAATTAAACGAGACTGATCATTACAAAATTAAAAACGTTTGAGGATAAATTTAGCTCACCTGTTTTAAGATCAGATTTCAAATAGCGTCTTAACATTTTTTTTTCCATTACAATTCTATTTTTGATAAAAATAAATAAGCAAATAATAATTTTAAAAAGTTTAATGGATAAAAAAATATTAAATTTCCCTGGAATTTGCTCAAGTTTTCTTTCGTGCGTTTAAAATTTTAATTAAACGTAACAACTTTTCCCAAATATGCTTAATTTTAAAATAATAACCTTCAATAATTGTTCAAAAGAAACATTTTATAAAGAATTTTGTTTTTATATAAAAAAAATGAAAATCGTGTACAGTTACGAAAATTATCCTCAAACAACATTTTTGAAATCTTCTGTGAATAGTTCATAAACAAGCACATAATAGAAATGAAATTTATAGTTTTTGATCATCAGTCATGTTCAATAATTTGTTCTACAAAATGCAACAACTACAAGAGCTATTTCCGGTAAATCTTGAGGATCGTGTTTTTCTCCCTTAACAGTTACATAAACAATCTTAAAACTATTAAGAAATGGATTGCATATGGTTGCGAAATGTTCCTTAGACATCTATAAAATGTGCTTTATCTCACATATCGTGTATTCTTCCATTACGGTTTATCTCTCAGATAGAAACAATGCTCTAAAATCTACCATAAACAAATAACATGTTGTTTACCTTTATTAAAAACAATGTAAATCTCCCAATGATCTGAAGAACCATCTACCGTGATGGGAAAAATTTTCTTAAAAAATTTGCTTTTAAGAAAACGAGCCTAAAATATAAATGTACGCAATAGGATCTATTTTTTACCAAAATCACAAACACGTCTGCGATTGTGGTTAAGATATAAAATAAAAAAAATTTCAATGTAGATCTTAGTCAGAAAACTTTTAAGGTAAGGGAAAAAGGGTGTAAATTTAACTTATTAACGTTTCCTATAAGTCAAGGTTGAAATATTTATTTACGTTGTCTTATATTTTCATTTATGACGAAGATTTTTGAAAAATAAGAATTTTTGTTGGCAACGGCGGCTAATTGTCGCGACATAGCACTTGTTTTCTTCCCCTTTTACAACCTCACCATCGTCTTTCTTGTTAGTTTTCTCAGCAAAATGACAGAGCCTAACGCGTTCAGTTATTGTTTAATTAAATTGCTTTTGGGAAAGTGCAATTAATCATCTTGGAAGCCCACGCCTAACTGCATAAATTTCGATGTCTTCATTAGACTAAAAGCTCAAAAGTTCTCTTTCTCTCTTTTTTTAGGATATTTTATTTTATACAGAAAAAATTTAATTTCACTCGGCATGCTAGTACAGCGCATGTCTTTCTTTTGCTATTTTATGACATGCATTTGATTATTGATTGCGATATTGTTCACATAAATTTGGAACTTGACAAGTTCATCATGGAAGAGCATTATAATAAATTCAATTTAGTATATCTTTTTTTTTAATTCGTAATTTCCATTACGATAACTAACCATTTCTGCTGATGAAATTGGAACCGGAATGATTTATTATAGATTATAGAGAGAAAAAATATTGTAAAGAGTTAATTCAAAATAATTTAATTAGCAGAGTTATTTAGTTAAAAAAATCTACGGATAAAGTTTGAACTTCGAATTTTGTCTTGAAAGAAATTTTTTAAAGACCATATAAAAATTCATTTAAATCTGATATTAAGCTGATTTATTTAATTCATAATTTCCATTGCAATAATTTTAGAGGATAATTTTTGCAATAATTTTTCCATTGCAATAATTTTAGTAGGTTTAAGAACCATAAAGTCTTAATAAATTATTATATTCAATGATTCAGAAGAGTGCGCATTTTAGGTAGAGTTGTTGAGTCAACCCCAAAACACCTTTTCAAAAATTAAATAAATAAAAATAAAACACTTGCAATTTATTAGCAATTTTTAAAGAAGGAAAACTTTCAAAATAAAGCCTTTTCTATAAATGAAATCTGTAAATGTTAAACTCTTTGTTTTCATAATTTATTTGATTATAATTTTTCATTGTAGAAATATTTCTATTAACAATCATCATTTTTTATAGTAGAAATTTTCAAGCTGCAAGTTGAATGGAATCCTTATTTAAGATTGAAATTTCGGTGGAAGTGAAAGAATTGAAAAAAAAATCAAATTTTTAAGGACGCATAAATTATTTTCATTAAAAAATATGGTTGAAATTTTGTTTCTTTATAAAACTTATCGTATTCAAAAATGTTGTTTACAACTTTTGTACATAATAATTTAATATATATTTTATAAAAGAATGACACAAAAGTTATGTGTCTATAGGTAAAACTATACAAATTTATACACAAATAAACTTGACTACTGAATGATGAATTGTAATTTTTTTTTGAAAGAAAATCTAAATTATTTCTGAAAAATCCAAATTTTACTGTAAAACCATTTCACCCAGAATTTTTGGGGGTTTTTTTTGAAGAAAAAAAAGGAACCGTTGGGGGCTGAAATGTTTTTAAAAAAACTGGTTTTACCCCGATTTTTGGAATTGAAAAACTTAGTAATACCTTCTAATTTGTAGGTTAACCGATCTCCTAGTTTTGGTGCTTCTACGACAGTTGATCGAGAATTGAAAGAAAGTTTAATAAGAAACGTGTTGGACATGATTCTTCTGACACCGAAACAAATCAAATTTATTAAAGATGAAGAACGCCTAAAATCTTTTCGAAGACTCACTAACTTAAATATGATAAGGTAACATGCTTTTGTTTCAATTCAAATCCCTATCATTTCTTTCTTAAATTAACTTTTAACTTAAATTAACTTTTTTACATAGTCCTTGTTGTTATTCTCTTAGTTAAGATACTATTTAATGGTTAAAAAACGTTTCATTAAAAAAATAGGAAATCAAATCGTCCATAAGTCTAAGTTTCTATTCATAGTTGTTATGCCAAATATAAATAATACTTCATATACTTGTCTCTCATTGATTAATGATATTCTATATAGCGGTATTTCATACTTAAAACAATGTCAAAAATGATAAATGTAAAAGTAAAAAATATTCCATATTTGTTTGTCTTCTCATAAATAAATAATTATTATTTTCAATTTACAATTATTCACGAAAATTATGGAATGCGTAGATGTTTAAAATTTCTAAGAAGAATTACTAGTTCGTTTTACTGAACGACTAACGAATCTAACCAAATGTTTACGGAGAAATATTTTTAGAAATCATATAATTAAATCAATACAATTAAGGTTAATTCGAAAAATAATTCATTAAAAAAACTACAACCATAGTACATTTTTGACATACGCATGCATCAATTTTTAAAAATTACATGGCTTTTTAACAATCAAAAGACTGTTAAAAAATTCAAATTTTATATTTTGGATTCAATATTTAAGGAAATTTAAAATTGTATCAAAATTTATATACAGTGGATGGGCAAAATAATGAAAACACTTCTATACTAATACATTTTTTTTAATATTTCTCAGGAAATACTTAAAAAAATCCTTTTATTACTTCAGAAGTATTTAGATCATGCGATTTCTTATACATTTGAATGAAGTTTAAAGCTTTTAGAGGTTTGAGAGATCGACAATAAATTACAAACTGAAAATAGTGTTTTTGAAGACCCGATGCAAAAAAAGTAGCAATCAAATTGTAACTTGTAACAATTATTTTTGGTTATTGTATGCAATAATTGCACAAAATTTTGTAAGCCTAGTTTAAAAATTTATCAAGATATAGACATTTTTTTAATAAGAAACTAATTTTTCTGTCTTTTGTTTTTTTTTTATATAACTTTGAAAATATTCAATATAATAAAACAAAATTTTGAGAGCAATTTAAAATTAATTTCGAAATTTGAGCTCTAAAATTTGAAAACAATTCGTGGAAAACTGTGCAATATATAAGTAATTAAAATAGTTATTTTATACTGCGCATGCGAGGAAAAAAATTCAAAAAATTTTTCTTCTTAATTTTGTTGTGAATCGTGTTTAGAAACTAATGAAAAAAAAACGATATGATTATCTTAAAAATTTTAAAATTTTCAAACAATTTTCTTAATAGTTTTTGTACTTTTAATAGAAACTCAAAATGATAAGGGGTTTTCTACAAATACTATTTTGTATCATAAGACAAAATTAAATAACAAAGCATGATATCTCACGATAAACGTTCATACTCCGAAATATGATTGTATAAGGAACGAAAACATGCAAAATGAAAGATACATTTATAGGAGATGTGATACCCAACAATGCCGGTGACATTTTTAATAAATCTTGTTTAATTGTACAAAATGATATTTGTGGAAAACCCCTTATTTTAATCTCTTTTTTTATTTAAAAAGTACGAAAACTACCTAGAAAATTGCTTGAAACTTTTCAAGTTTTAAAGATATTCAAATCGATTTTTTTTTTTTAATTTGTGGCCAAATACGATCACTACAAAATGTAATAAAACTTTTTTTTTTCCGTGCATGCGCAGTATAAAACACCAACTTTAATTACTCATATCTTGTTCAGTTTTAAACAAATTTTTCTTAAATTTTAAAGCAACAATTTTGTTTTAATTTCAAACTGCTCCAAAAATTTTGTTTAATTTTATTTGATATTTTGAAAGATATAACAAAAAAAACGTAAGATTAAAAAAAAAAATTTTTTTTAATAAAAATGTTCATATTTCCACAAATATTTAAGATAGATTTATGAAATTTGGTGCAACTATCGCATATAACAACCAAAATAATTGCTACAAATTAAAAGCTTATTGCTTCAAGGTCAATTTATTGCATAGAATGTTCAAAACACTAATTTTCATTTGTAATTTATAGCCGTTCCTCAAAGCTCTAAAAGCTTTAAACTTCATTGATAAGTATGAGGAACCACTTGTAACAATTATTTTTTAAGAATTTCTAAATTTATAAAATTATTCTGAAAGACATTTTTAAGAAAGATCAAAAAATGCGTTTGAATAGAAGTGTTTCCATAATTTTGCCCAGCCCCCTGTAAATGTATAGCATAATTGAATACAACAGCTTTTTCTTGTTCCCAAATATTTATTTACCTTATTATTGCTGTTATAAATTAATAATCTAAGAATGAAATTGGTATTTCAAGAATCTCCTTATTTTTATATTTAATACTATTAATTAATTAATTAATTATTCAAGGTTTGTATAAACTAATGTAGATTGTTATACCTACGTTAGTTCAAGGAAAGAAAATATGGATTAAAGCTATTTAAAACAATCATCTTTGTCTTATATTTGAATATCGCATCTTTATAGAAAACGTTTCTAGAAATGATTCTTGCTTAGCTAAAGACAAAAAACAAGAAATGGAAGGAAGCGAATCAATGAATCATCAAGTCAAAAATTGGCTAATGGGTGAAACAGCAAATAAGAGAATCAGCAAATAAGAGAATCAACTTATTAGTAAATAAAAAACATATAAAACTTTAAAACTATAATTAATGCTATAACAGACGACAATGATTTTTGTAAGCATTTACATACCCTGATTTACAAGTTGGTTATAGATATTTGTACATAATTTTGAGTTTGAACAAATTAACATCCTTCGAATCTGCTTTAAAAAAAATTCCAGCCGCAAATAAAGAGTGACCTGATCCTAGTATCCAATATACTTTAATAAATTTTTCCAATTCAGTTAAAAAATGTTATTGTTCTCAAAGACAACCTAACTCAATTTCAATCAAAGTTTAACTGAAAACCTAAATTAATCGTTACAATCGAATGTTTCACTTCAAATTAACTCCATAAAATACTAAGAAGAAACAGCTTTTATACGTTTCAAAAATTTAATTCATGAACCTTTTAATAAAATGTTTTATCAGTAAGTGATTTTAATCTTTATTATTTCTAAGTATATTATAAAAGTAACAAGTTATGACTTAACAAAAAGCTTTGATACTAAAATAAGTAAAATATTTCAAAAAGGGAAGAAAATCGATTAGTGCAGTGAATTGTTTTGTTCATTGCCCATAAATATAATTATTTAACAACATACTATTTGTGGATATAAAATACTTATAAAACTAATGCCTGTATTGTTTAGTTTAATTTTTTTTATTGAAGTTTAGTTATTAAAAATTTATTAATTTAAGAACTATTAGTTTAATAATGACAATTTATGTAGTTTAATGCAAGATAGCGGTTGTTAAATTCTACATACCATTCCAAAATTGATATTTCATTGCTTTCAATTATTTACAGACTGTTACAAATGCAATGTTTTTTTTTTATTTATTATGTATGTTTATAAATATTTTGTTTCTATATTCATTATATCGCATTCATTATCTAAATGATTCATAGTCGTAAAATAAAATGTTATTTCTGAAAACATACACCAAAATTATTGTTAATATACCTCATTTATACAACAATTTTACGTAAGAAAATTTTTTCAAAAAGAATTTTGTTCCCTGTTAAGTTTGAAATTTTTTTTTTCATTTCTGAGAAATTTCCAAAAAAAACTCTTTTTATTTTTTATTTTCTTATTTTTTTGCATAATTTGACAGTATGTACATTTGAAAACACTCAGTAAGGGTCCTGCAAGCACTAATAGTCCTTCGATGATATTTTAATATACTGCTGGATTTTCTTAATGAGTTTAAAACAATATTTTCATAAGAGACTGAAAGAAGCCGAAGAATGACTATTACTTCAGATGATTAGGGTAAGAAGAAGGGAAAAAATGACTAAAGCATGTAAAAAAAGAGTAATGAATTAGTCTGTTTTAAATTTTATTTACACTGGAATAATAAAACAGTAGACATATTAATACGGTTCAAAACTCCACTAAGTACAAGTTGACGTATCAGCTTTTGAAAGATACTTAGAAATTGTAATTTTTCATAATTTTACTACTTTATTTAATCTAAAATAATTTCTAACTTCAGATTAAGTATGAACTGATATTTAAAATGTAAGTAGTAAAATCTTTTTCGTTATAGGTATGTTTATCATAGTACAATTTTGTCTGTTTCAAGCTGTCATAAAATCTCTTAAATAAACTGATTATAATCTAATTTATTTCAGATTTTATCAAATATTAGCATGTGAGAAATCATAAAATTTAGTAACATACTTCAAAATTAAATGTGATTTTCCTCCTGATAATGAATTTATTTCACTTTATCATATCATCTGTGGCCCCTTGTAATTCTTAATTGATGCGCAGACTTAAAAGATGACTTTTAGCGTATTATGATATTTATAAGAAAAAAATTGTGCATACTTATAAGTTAGTTCACCAGTTTAAACTAATTTAATTGGTATTTTAACAGCACGCATAAAATTAATATAGTTCCCGTCAGACGCAAAATATAATTGAGTTTTTTCATTAAAAAATTATCAGCTCTCGAGACATGCATTTGCTCAATAATTAGATATTTATCATTTAATTATCCAAAAACTATAAATAACGTATTCAAAAAATTCCAGGGTGCAATGGGATTTACATTAGTAATATACTGAGACGCCAACTTACTCCGGACAGCAAATATATATTTTAAAGTGGTAGTTTATGAATTGGGATTCTTGGTTTAATAAATTCAATTTAGTAGATTTTTATCCACCACTACTTCTAAATAATTCGTAGGCTTATATAATTCACCACTATGTATTACCAGCGTCATACTATACCATTTAAAAAGCAAGCAAAAATAGTCAAATATTTGCAAAATTTACTTTGTAGTTATTTACCGTTTTTTTTAATTATTTTGGCGCGTCCGGAGCAGTTGGCATCTCTGAATATATACTGTTAAAGTTCAAATCAAATCAGTTGAAAATTAAAGAAGTCGTGTCTTTAGAGAATGTGAAAAATGTTATTTTAAGAAAAGATCCAGTAAAGTTTTCGCATGTAACCTACACACGCGTCAAATTAATACAAAATCAACTGTATTTTTTTCACTTATGAGTTTCGACATTTTGCATTTAGAACAATGTGCAAACTATCAAATTATGCATAAATGAAAAAATATGTTTCATTTTTTTAAGACTTTATTTATTTATTTTCTTAATTTTGCAATGACTTCCCATTAACATCGTTATTGCTGGATTGAATATAACAGATAACATTTTTAACTATTGTAAAAAGCAGAAATATTATATTTTTTTCGTAAAATTCTTTCCGAAAGCTTAGTAAAAAAATTTTTATATCCTAAGCACAAATTGCCTTTCCTTGCTTTGCAAATTTTAGCGTCGCCTTTTAATTGTATTTGATAATTGTTTGTTTTACCAATTTACATCTTCACCTCCTTTTGTTTTACATTTGAGATTTTCTTGGCTCCTTACGCCTTGTTCTTCCGTCTTACCTGTTGTCAATTTGTCATCGACTGTATTGGATCTTCGACCTATATTAACTTGGGACCTCCATTTACCTGCGACCTTTTAATGTTCTCTTATGTTCACTTCAGGTACACGTTTTTTTTAATGGTTCACTTTATGTTTTACTGTTCTTGAATACATCAACAGTTTATACTTCGTGTCCTTTATATCCTGTCACAATGTTAATGATCGCTTTGGTTTAGCGACCCAACTTACTCTGTATAATTACTCGTTTTAATCCTATGTACTGCCTGCACATGATGCATTGTATGTCATACTGTACTTTCCTGCGATGTGTTGTAAAATTTTTCATTTGTGTCTTTGGCTCACTACAAGGGAAGCTCCGTCGGCTTCGCACTATAAGGCGGGACTCTCGGAGCATTTTAATTATTTTACTGCTGTTGCCATCAGACTCTGTAATGTTTTCGTATTTTTGCACTTTTTGTATTTTATGTACTTTTCTGTTTTTCTTGATTTTAATAAACATTTACCCGTATGCCCCAAATTGGGGCAGGTCGGGGTAAATATTTCATATCCTAAGCACAAATAATTACCAAAAAAGTAACTCAAGTATTTAGATTTTTTTTTTTTTTACATTTTGAAACGTTTAAATAATTCAATATGCTTCAGAAACTTTTCATCATATGATTATAAATATTTATGTAAACGTTTGAAATATCTGGTAAAAATGAAAGGTTTTCTTTGAGGGAAATTGAGTTGATGACATTCGTCAAGAATCTCGCTTGAAAAATATCGAATCTTAAGAATGTGGCTCCATTATAAGAGCACTGGAATGTTTCGTTTCCTGCCTGTTATCGCTCACAAACGCCCCAGAAATCTTTTCACTTATGCGAATCTGTTAGTGGGTTTGTTTGCAAATCCGATGTTTATTGCTAATGTTTTCTTTCTTTGTATTTTATAACCCTAAGTGTCTCATTTTTTAGATAAACACGAGACTCACGTTTCAGAGGTTTCGTGTAGTTAAAAACCTTTTTCATTTCAATTCCTACTACGAAATATAATATATAGATTTCAAAAACGTGAGAAAAAAAACTGTTTAAAAAAGTCCTTACTCTCGGAACCTCTTTAACTCTTTCACGGAATCATAGGGTTCCCTGGAACACCATTTGGGAATCTCTGAGCTAGAGCATTACCATTGAATAAGAGGATAAATACTCTACCACTTTCTTTTATAAAAGAACCTTTAGCATCACTGTAAAATGAGGTTTGTACTTTCGCAGACAAAACTTCCCGGTAGACCTAATATTTTTCATTTTATTTCTAGGCTGGCCTCAGTTGAAAAAATTTAAAACCTGACGATGAAAAAATGCTTTAAATTAATTCCCAAAATTGATTAATTCCCCACGTGATGAAATTCTTACCTACAGTTTGAGTCAATAAAACAGATCAAAGCATAGCAAGATGCGTATTATCAGTCAAAGGTTTCTGCATAAAATATAATGGTTTCTTGTGACTATAACATATTATTGATTAAAATAAAATAAATCTAAAATTTAAAGCTAAAATGGTTGCTAAAATAAGAAAATTTAACTTTGTTTTCGTCCTTACCACTCTTCAATGATACTATTAGTTTACACTCTCCCTATATATATTTATATATCTTGTTCAAATTTTCAATCGTTAATAAAATACTTTTTATTCATCCACTCAAGTTCAAATACATTTTTTTAAATTTTAATGGATGACGCTTGATGTTAATACAGTTTTTTCAAATATAATTCATTTTAATTAAATTCAGTTAATTAAATTTAGTTAATTAAATTTTATTAATTAATTTCAGTTTTATACAGGAGAAGAAAAAAATTCACTTACATAAGATATTTAGCAGGATATAAATTTAGAAATAAAAACCGTCAATGGTGAAGCATGTAGATCGCTGGAAAAAATTTTCTTTGAAATTATTTATTACAATTTCCTACTTAGGCCAACAAAGAAAATTTTTATTTTAGTTACTTTTAATTAAATAATTACAAGGAGTTTAATTCATTGAATTTGAAATTACAAGGAAATTCGCGTTCTATTTTGCCACTTAATATTGTGGTTCTGTCATATGTATATGCATAATTATATTAATTGTAATTATTTAATAAAAAGTAACTGAAATAAAATATTTCTTTGTTGATCTAAGTAGGTAAAAAATATTTTATACTACTTTTTTTAAAGAAATATATACACAGATTTTTTGAAACTTCCTCATAACTTGCTCATCGATAAATTAAATTATCTTACAATTTTCCAGGAGTCTAACATCCAAAGAACAAGTATTGTATGAGTATCAAGAGCGTAAAGAGAATCGGATGTGTGGTAACTTCAGGAAGATTTATCCAGTGGAAGACAGTAAATATGATAATATATATGAAACTGCATTTAGAGTTTCAAAGTATTAAGGCAAAAAAAAAAACCACATATGTCTTAAGTTTTGAAAACTTTTTGAAATTAAATGAAATCATTGACAGTTGAAGTGTTTAATTTGTGAGAAATAAAATAAAATCATTAACAATTGAAGAGCTTAATTCGTGAGAAATAAAAAAAGGAATTGCGAATTAAGTACACTTATTTTAGTATGACAGTCGGGAAAAAAAAATTTAAGACGAAACAATCGATAAAAAAAAATACAATATAATTCAAAATCTTAATTTTTAAAAAAAAATTATTTAAGATTTTACAGTGAAATAAACTGTAAGTTTAATAAATTATTATTGTCTACGATGCTTCTTTAAGAGTAAAATACTCTGGAAAAGCGATTCTATAAAAGTCTAAAATTCTATTCCATAAAATAATTCTATAAAAAAGAGAAATTATTATCTCTTATTTATATCGGAGTAAGAATACAAACGAAATTACGCAGAACGTTTCAATTTTAAAATTTATTTAACTGTACCCTCAATAATATTAGCTCTTTAATGGTAAACTATTTCATCAAACGCTTTTCTGCAGATAATGCACAAATATGAAGAAAATAGAGTCTATCTATAGTATTTTCTGTTAGTTAAACACTAGTAAAATGTATACTACTGAGGTGTATTATGGAAAAAGATTGTTCAAATTTCATCAGATTTAAAAAGGAAGGGAAAAGAAAAAGATGTAACTGTTTAATTTGACTTAAATTTAATTTAACTAGAAATATTTTTCGTAAATATGTGACCAGAGTGACTATGTATCAATTTGAAATTTTGCATTTGAAAATATTTTTTCCGATGAACCTTTCAAACTTAAAAATATTTTGCATTTACCAGACTGTTCATACTGAATATTAACTAACAGACTAATATTAAGTAAGATTTTAAACTAATTCTAGTGATAGGGGAAAATTTTTAGTTTAAAAAAAAGGTTTTCTTTTTCTATTAAATTAAAAAAATAGGGCACAATATTAGTAAGTGAATAAAATCTAAAGCAACACTTGGGTGATTTTCTGTAAAAGAACTTGTTTGCTAGTTAACTTGAAGTAGTTAACACCAAAAGTTCTGGTTATCAAACACATAATTCAATTCAAAGAGTTCGAATACAAATATTTAAGCTCTAATATTTTGGTAAAACTAAGTTTCAGTTTGAATGTTTGATGTATTTTATATAAAATATTGAGAAATCGCATTTTAAAAGAAATTATTGTGATGTGCATAATTATGAAGTGTATAATATTGTGTTAAAGAAAATTAACCAGTATTAAAAGGAGCATTAACCGGTATTTAAAAGGCGTGACTTACGTAATAAAACTTCTTTCTTACATTATACTGCAGTGCCGTGTCTTTTTAAGAAAAGCAGAAAATATTAAAATGTGTGTATTTGTCTGTTACTATAATATAAATGTTATAAATATTATACTGTAGTTGCTGTTGATATTTATCGTTTCAACAACAGCTACTATACTCTGAATAAATTTTTACTAAGGAGGATATAGAGCATGTCAGAACAATAAGTATTTATTTATTTATTTATTTATTATGATTCATTCCATAATCATAAAGAAAATTTATGATTCCGAAGTAAAGAGGGGGAAAAAAATAAGATGAGGGAAAATATTTTTTATGTCTTTTATCTTATCGACATTTTTCATTATCATTATCACTTTCATTATTAATGAATGCTTAAAAATGCTTCCCACAGACATGGTGACATAGTTTTTAAAAGCAATTAAAGGTTTATATCGATAAGGCGGGCGGAGTTTTAGGCAATAGAAACACCCTATAATTTATTCTAACGCCGCCAGCTGGTGCGGCGATCGCAAGAGCCGGAGAAAATCTCATATAATAGAGATGATCCTCCTCTCTAAAGATTCATGAAACACGTCCAGTACGTCCGCGATGATTCTCGCTTTCATAATCATGTTTCTCATGTGGCGAAGAATACTGACCACATGTCCAGAGTGCGCGGTGAATGACCAGCAACAGGCAGCGAGATTGAAATTAGAAGCTATCAAACAACAAATATTATCAAAACTGCATTTGCAAGAGAAACCTAATATTACGACCCCCCTTGCGAGGGAGGTTGCTTTGGAGGCTTTGAGAAGGACACAAGGTGGGATACCGGACGAGGCCGGACGTCCTCCGGAGGAAAACGAAACCGGCATCAGGGACGATTATTACGCCCGCACCTCCGAAATCATCGCTTTCGCAGAGCCTGGTGAGTAGATAATTGAATCTTCTCCCCACGTGGCTTTATAGTGATGCAATACTTTTAATTACATACGCGAATTTTAAATGACTGTATTGTGTGCTCATTAGGAAGTCCGAGGAACTGTAAAAATAGTTCAGGTAAGTAAAACAATTTTAAGGTTTTATAGAATCATTTATTTTTGGTCTGATAAAATTAAATCGAAATTAATGGCAACTGCATGGATTTTAAGTAAATAAAAATATTTTTTACAAAGGAAAAAAGAATAGGTTATTTGGATAATTTCATCATTTGTGTGTACAGCGCATAATGCGTGCAAATTATTTTATATTGTCGTCAAATATCATTTTGAGTGAAATTTCTTAATACCAAGTGTGTATAAAAATAGCATTATTGATAATTATAATATAGTATACAACAAATAAATTTGTAATTTTAAAAAATTAATAATTATAATTAAATATAATTCCTAAATGTCTCACATGTGAATTGCCTGTAATCACAATTGTTCAAAAGTAGGATCGCAGATAAAATGTAAAGAGATCAAAATTAAAAAGCGATTACCTTGAATAGCTTGTAATTTAATGGGCAAATTTTCACAAACTAGTGATTCGAGAGCCTAACTTTAAACTTGCGAATTTATTTGTGTAGAGGGAAAAGTTAACGAAATCAAACACAAAAACGTACTTTTTCTAAATTTTTCGACCTTTTTTTTAAAATCCTTTTTCTTTATTTTGTTTAGATAGAGACTATTACCATTTTGAAACATCTCATTAAGTTTTTAGACAGAAACCTATTTTGAAAAAGATTTTTAAAAAACTTTTGATAAATAACGTTTTGTAAATGTATAAAGAAAAATTTTGATTGTGTCTTAAAATTGTTAACGTTATATATAAATTCTTTGGGGCAATATAGTGATATGCCACACTTTTTAAGAAGGTGACCTTTTTGCATAATACTGTTTTCTAGTTCTAGTAACGCACTTTACAAGTTTTAGGAATTTCTCCAAAATAATAGCACAATACACAGAAAAATAATTATTTCTAAGAAGAATTTACAATGCTAGTTAAAAAGTAGAATGCATTTATTAAAAGTATCTATTCAAATTGTTTTTTTATTTAGATTTGTCAATTTTTTAACTGCTTCTGTTTAAAAAATACAAAGTGAAAGCATTTTGAATGCAAAAGCGTAGCGTCGTTAATAATTTTAAAAGAGATCATTGAAGAAATAGTAAAGATGTAAAACTCTTATCAGTTAGCAACTGTGAAAATTGTTCTTGAATCCTCAAAAAATTAAGAATAAGAACTAAAAAATTAACGACAGAAATCCTCTCATTTAAGAAGATTAAGAAATTTCGAAGGATATCACACAAAAATAAATTGCATGCAAATTTTTAAAAACTTCAATTTTGAGATAATATCAATTGCATGTTTAAATATCATTTGCATAGTTTTACTAGTTAATTTTTTTCAGTAAATTAAACTATATCTAAAAATCATCTGAAACTTCAAATCGTAAAATAAAATTTTAAATTTAATCAATTCATTAACTTAACTTTTGTGATTCAGAATAAGTTTGCTAAAATGCACAAGAGTGATTTGAATTTTTATTTTTGAACTTCTATTTTTAAATTTCCAAGGTAAATCTTTAAGTTTTATGTGGGATAAATTTAAAAATTTAACTATGTGATGGTAATATAGTCCAGATTAAAAATTTAAACATTTAACAGTCAGTTTACTCATAATTTGTTAAACATTAATTTACGCACATAAATGATTCGAAGGTAAAAATAATCAGCTAAATATTTATAAATATTATTTGTCTATTGATAACAAGATGCCGGGATAAATCAAACTGATTAAAAGTGAAATCTTTAACGTTCCCAAAGTTAGAACATAATAATTCCAAATCAGTAAATATCTTCATTTCTGTAAAACTATCAAAAATTTAAATTCTTGACGCATTAAAGATATAAAATAACGCTAAGTAAGTTAACGACCTCGAAGCCAAACGCAAGTATGCAACGCACAATAACTACAGTTTTTAGTCCCAATAATCTAAATTATTTGTCACTGAAAAATATAAAAGATCTTAATTTGACCACATTTGAGAGTTTTTCAAAATGCAACAAAGATCAATAAATAGCAAATCGTACAATAGCTATTATGGTGTTATTTGATTCTTAATTTTTTATTTTGTACCAACATTTACATTACCATTTTACTTTATATAAACACATTTATTAAAGTTTAAATTTAAATCAATTCAAATATCTTTGTTCAGAGAATGTGCTTACAAGGAGCTCGTATTTAACTATTTAAAAACCTTTACTGATTTTAAAACGTTCGTTTCCTTTTTTTTTAACACTCCTGGGAGTTTTCATTATTAATACATAATTAAATATTGAAGGAGAAGATGCCAAGAAGAAAATTTCTAAATAATTGTCGTTAAATTCTTTCTCATTATATTTACCTGCTCTACAACACTATTATCTTTGCTGATTTAACTTCTAAAGCGATTCTTTCATTGCTTTTTTGGCAGAATCAACGGGTATCTCTTTCATAAATAGCAAAACCTTTTTTTTTTGTCAAGTAATAAATCGATTTTTTGAAACTTTAATTGACTCCTTCTTTTCATCGCCTTTTTAATTTTGAGTTACGAAATACAGAAACATTTAGACAAATTGTAAATGCAAGGTTGTCTTTCTTTTGGCATTGCTCTGGATTTTTCACCATTAATTCACAATTTTCATTTTGAGAAGAGATGTTTCGACAAA